GACTTTTACGACAACAACGCGAGAGAGAGAGAGAGAGAGAGAGAGAGAGAGAGAGAGAGAGAGAGAGAGAGAGAGAGAGGAAGAGTGAGAGAACAAAGGCAGTCGTAAAAAATTCGATTTGCTTCAATTATCCGAAGAAGACATAAACATAGAGAAGTGAAAAAAAGAAGTGCGCAATGGTCTAAGCGTTAAATAAACAACCAAATATATATTATATATATACATATATATGTATATATATCTAAACAAGTGGCGCTGTTATAACAACAATACCACCGACGACGAAAAGTAATAAAGTTTCGTTTCAATTTACTCTAGTGAAAGAGAAAAAAACGCATTTCAAAGAGAAACAGAGGGAAAAAAGATGCTTCGATGTATGACGAACAACAAGATTGACCAGTCATAAAAATATGGATACTTGAAATGATCAACAAAACAACGTCTTCTCTCGAAAAGAAAAAAAATCTTTCTCACACACTGTAAACATTCTATCGGCTCTGAACCACATTCCAAAGTAAGGGGGCAGTTAAAAAATAAAAACAAAAATTCCTTGGGAACCACTAGACGAGAAAAAAAATATCGAAATGATTATGATCATTGATTGAATCGCTGTTAATCGGTTTTCCATGTGCTCACTGCGTAGCGCGTAGATCGAACCCAAGGGCCTTGCTCTCAATGTGTGAAAACATCATATGTAAATGCATGAAAATTCATTTTTTCTGTGGAATTTCGAAGCATCCAAGAAAGATTGAGCGAGAGAGAAACAACAACAACAACAACAACAACGGCAACATAAATTCCAAACGTGAATTTCACACAAAAAAGTGAAGTGTTTGGTCTATAGCATTAGATATTAAATTCGTGTACCTACTATAATCAACATTCCAATGTGTCGTTTTTTTCCTCTCTCTCTCTCTCTCTCTCTCTCTCTCTCTCTCTCTCTCTCTCTTCTCTTGAATCGTACTGCATGTATTTCGTGCTCAGCGTTCGATTTCAATGGATTGTAAATGGCTGGGTTTGTCTATGCGCATAAAGCTTTGGCTTTTTTTGGTTGTTTTGTTTAACGGCACATACCGCAGCTCAGCAGCATTCGGCATTTACCTTTGAATCACACATACAGTCACACACAATCCGATGGCGATATGTGAGAAAATCTTAGTTTACACCATTCGGAATCGAAGAACCGAGATATCGAATACAGAGAAATCGAAAATAATGAGGAAATAGTTTCACAGAAGTCGCCATACAATTCAGCCGGATTGGACTGTTTTGTTGTTGTCGTTTTTTGTTGTTGTTGCCTGTCAAACACACATTCAATCGCTTTCAATCGCTAGTACGAATCATGCCAATTACCACACACCATCATTACGATCATTGCACTCTCAACAATTGCTGTTCGTCCGAAAAAGTTGCACATTTTCCTACTTGAAAAGTTCCGACTTCAAAAGAAATACACACACACACTTTCACACGGAGGGAAATTGAAATAATGCGGTACTCTTGCAGTTATCTTCAGAATTTCTTAAAAATAATATTACACCCGAAAAATTTCTTAACTAATCTGCCTGAGAGAGTTTAGTTGTTAATTCGTTCTTATTCCTCCTCTTTCTAATTTCTTTTTTTTGTGTCTTCTTCTTCTTCTTCTTTTTCTTTTTTGGGCTTGTTAGTTTTCTTGATTCCGACGAAATTCGAGTGAAATTGTTACATTAATGATTATTATTGTTATTCCACATTCCAATCAGCAACTATCTCTTTCTATTTTACCTGTATGAAAAATCGGCTCTCAAGTATTTCGATGAAAGAGAAAGAAGAAAAAAATGAACGAGAATGCCTATGTTGAATATGATGCGCATGTTAAATCGAGAGAAAAAAAATAATACCAAGCCAAACACCAAACGTGAGACTCGAAAGAGCAGCGAGAGACCATAGACGAGAGATGAAAAGCGAGAGAGAGAGAGAGAGAGAGAGAGTAAAATAAATCTAAGATCTAGACCTACGACCATTATGAGCTGATCGGTCGGATTTCGTTCTTTTAGCCTCAATCTATTGTCTCGATGATCATCTCTCTCTCTCTCTCTGTGCGTACATATTTTCATTTATGTTTTGGGCTGAAATAAAACAACTCCGCATTCTTTCATCTATTTTTTTTTAAATGATTCTCTGGAATTTCGTCTATTGTGTTATGACATGCATTTTTCCGGAAAAAAAAATATGCCGAGAACCACATCTCCATCGAGTTCATTGTCAATTATGCTCAGCATCTATCTATACATACAGAATATATAGAAATGTGTTTTCTTGTGGTGTTGACCCTGAAAAATAATGAAAATCTATCGAAAAATATTCAATTCGTTTGAACTCAGTGAATGTGGACCAGGATGATTTATCCTTAAAAAAAATCATTTTTAAACAGAATCCTTTTGAAGAGGATGAAAACAATGCGTTTATTTATTGATTTCGGCAAAATGAAGAAATCACAAAAAACCCAAACATTTCTGTCTTATTCATCCAACGCGGAAAAGTTCAAATGGTAATGGACGTGCATTTTGACACGGCTTCAAGATGCAAACTATTTTTCATCGAACGTGGCTTTCTGTGTGTGCCATTTTGCACGTTATCATTCGTTGTATAAAAAATCAACAGGGAATGCCTAAAACTGCTCCATGTTATTCATTTCAACGGAATTCCATTCCATAATAAACGAACTTGAAGAAAAAAAGAATGCTCAAACATATACGCACACATACAGATCGAAATAGACACTCACACACCAAAATCCAAAGGCCAAAGTATGAACCGAAATAAAGCAGATTACATGCTTACAGCTAAAAAGAGACGAAAAATGAACGAAAAAACGACCGAAAATGCATTCGTAGAAGGCTCCGAACGCCAAAGAATGAACCGATGAAAGAATATGTGAAACGAAATTCCAACGGCTCTAAGTGTGTGCCACACAAACAAAACGATCCCATACGGAAAAGATGAAAAGCAAATTGAAGAGACACTGGCACTGAACGCCAAGAGAGAGCTCAAAGAATGTTTCAGCTCGGTCGATTGAATCAGTTGTTGTTTACAGCTACATTCACTAACATGCATTTATAGCAGCGAGAGAACTCTCCCTCATTCTACTGTAGTTTCAAACCAAAACTGATCTCAATCGTTCGAAGTTCGTGTCTTGTGTGACTTGAGAGTCGAAGTTTAATTCACTGCGGAATTTAAGAAAAAAAATAATTAAAAATTAAATGAACAGAAAAACGAGAGCAGAACATTTTTTTGTGATTCATCTGAATTGAAGAAGTTGCAATCCATTGGAATAAAGGAATAAAATTGCAAATCGACGATCTCAGTGAAATTTTCAAGTTTCTTAAATTGTAAGTATCCGGATGGATCGACCTGATTGCACTTTGTGTGTCTCTATCTCTCTCTGTCTCTCCGTGTGTGTGGATTTAAAATGGTTCAAAAGTTGAGAAAAAAGAAGAAGAAGAAGAAGAAGAAGAAGAAGAAGAAGAAGAAGAAGAAGAAGAAGAAGAAGATTATCATTATTATTAGTCAGTGCCTATGCAAAAACATCTGCCGCCAGTAAGGGCATGTGCTGCCTCGCATTACAGTTAACAATGTGTTGAATTTTTTCGTTTTTCGTTTCGTTTAGTTGCATATTTAAGTTTCGGGTTCTTTTCTTATTTTATTTTATTTTTTCGGTATTTTGATTCTTTTATTCCCGAAAATCGATTTATAAGATATATCAGCTGCCGGGGCAGCAGCTGCTGTCGTTGCCATCTGTCGTCGCATGATCTGGGCATGCGTTCAAAACGCATAAAAAATTTACTTGAATTATACGACAGCAGACTGCATCGATTTTTATTCTATTTTTCTGTTTCATTTTTCGTTTCAATGGCAATTTAGAACATTTAGCCCAAAGTCTAATGGCATTTCCGAATGTTTCATGCGTTCAGTCTGAACTCAACTTATCTTATCATCAGACGCACAAGCATAGTTCAGTTTTCCACACAATTATCATCGTTTTGTGGTGTTAACATGTTTTATAAATTCGTATAAAATACTTGCGACACAAATTCCATGAAATTATCGCATCGTTTCTCCTAAGTTTGCCCGTTAATCACCCAATACATCGACTTGAATAGTCCGGTTTTATTTTTGAATACGTTTAGTTGAAATCGAATTACAATTGTTTAAACAGTTTGACAGCCCTAACGAAATTTATATAAAAATAGCTGCATATTTGAATCAAACATACAAGTTAGTATATGCGGTTGAACAAGTATTATTTTATTCGAAATTGTCTAAACTTTCGAGTGATTGTTGTATAAATTGGAATTATGTGACGCAACTAAACGAAACGAAGAGAAGCAAAAAAAAACACACACAAACAGTTTGATTGTGTATATTGGATGCGGGAATACAATCACATACACACTCGTCGCCACTTACATTATTATTATCAGGGTTGATTGTATTGAGTCGCTTCTGTTGCAACTGTCATTGTGTGATAATTTACACAGCTTTGTTCAACCGTCAAAAACTGAAGCACTCTCCCTCACAAGCGATCAACGTAGCTTGTGTGTTTAGACTGGCCGTACACATTATCGCATCGTGCACACTATCGAGCGCTGTGTGTGTTTCAGTCACATATCGTCTCTGCTCCACATTGGCTTTCTATACTTGGTATTCATTTGCATTCGTGTATACGTGACATTGTTTCCATTGCTCTTTATTGTTGGTTCGTTTTTATTTTCCTGTTTTTATCACGATTTCCAACGAACAATTACTTTAGTCGAAACAATATGTTACATTAGCATATTCCTTTGTTGTGCGTTACTTTGATTCGTGCATTCAGTACGAAGTTTGATTGACAAACACTCACACTCGCCCATACATAGTTCTACACACACACACACAAAGTGTCTATTGAAAATTTCTCTAGTTTCCGTTTTCAATTTTATACTTATCAGTGTTTTTCGTTTGCATTGTTTTATTTACAGATCGATAATAATCAACCGTTTGACTCGTTTTGCTTGATTGGATCTCATTCGAACAGCAATCACGATGAAGGTTTTAGTGCCCAATACAACTAATTCGTATTTCCCAAAATTTCAAACGTCGAGAAAAGACGGCGATGAAGTTGACAATCGAACTACTGAATCAATGAAGGATACTCCAAATATATCAACGTCACCACCTGTATCACCGAATACACCGATCATAACAAATAATCAAACAAGCGCAAGCACAACCAGCATCCAAATGTCGACCAATGATTTGAGCCGCGAAGAAAACCGATTTAAAACATTCGACGCCAGTTGGCCACACACATTCATCAGTCCACGCGTTCTTGCCAAAACTGGCTTCTACTACATTGGCCCACACGATCAAGTCCGATGCTATTTCTGCAAAGTCGAAGTGAGCAGCTGGGAAAATGGTGACAATGAAGTGAATGAACACAGTCGCTGGTCACCAAACTGTCCATTGCTGAAGCGTCGCGATACATCAAATGTGCCACTTGATCCAGTATCGGAATTGGACCAATTGTTGCCACCCGTTAGCTACGATGTATGTGGCACATATGGTATTGATCGACGACAGGGTGCCTACACCGAAACCCCATTCTCACCATCGTCAAGTGGCAGTGACATCGTTGAAAATATCAACACAAATTCAAATTCAACCACCGTTGAACGTGAAACACAAACGCTTAAACATCCCGATTTCCCCGAATTTGCCATCGAAACTGCACGCTTGCGATCGTTCGACGAATGGCCGAAAACAATGAAACAGAAGCCCAAACAACTCAGCGATGCCGGCTTTTTTTATACACAAAAAGGTGACCGTGTAATTTGCTTCAGTTGTGGCGGTGGTTTGCGCGATTGGGACGAACAAGATGATCCATGGGAACAGCACGCATTGTGGTACAGCAAATGTGATTATCTGCGATTGGTCAAAGGTCCCGAATACATTGAAGCGGTGAAAGCAAAGTTCGCTCAAGCCCAAAATGAAGAGCAAACCAACGGCGGTTTATCGTCATCGTCACAAGAATCGGTTGCATCATCGTGCAGCAGCGGTAGTAGCAGTGGTAGTTCATCGGCATCATCGACACCAGTTAATTCGCAAATGTGCAGCGGCGCCAGCGGCGATAAAGACGAACAAAATCCCGACAATAAACTATGCGAATCGAGACTATGCAAGATTTGCTATTCAAGCGAATATAACACCGCATTTTTCCCATGCGGCCATGTGATTGCCTGCACAAAATGCGCCTCATCCGTAACCAAATGTCCGTTGTGTCGAAAGCCGTTCGAACGTGTGATGAGAGTGTTTTTCTCTTAGGCAGAACAAACCAAAAAATTTAAAAATTTATATAAAATGTGAATTTTTTTTTCAACCCTAATTTTTTGATACTTTTAAAAAATTGATTTTTTTTTTCTTTCTTAAATTAAGGTTAAGAAATGAAGATGAATTTAAAACGACATAACATAAAAAGCTATTAAGTAATAAACATTAATGTTAAGACAACAAAAATTACACTTGTACAGCAATCAATAATAAAAAAAGGAATAATTTTTTGTGAAATTCTTTATTTTTTTTTCTTTATTTTTTTTTCTATTTGAGAATCCTTAAGAGTAAATTTTCAAAGAAGCATTCTTTTCGATTCTTTTGCTTACAAACTCTTGATGTTGCACATCAACTAAAATGGCGCTTAATTCGATTAAAAAAAAATCAAACAAAACTAAAAAAAACTTTCTTTTAAATTAGCTTATACAAGTATTTAAACAAAACAAAAAAGGAAAGATGAACATACATCACAATATAGAATTTAAGTGACCACATGCATTTACACATAATTTATTTATGTCGGAAAGAGGAAAAAAAAAATCAGTAAAATGGATAAAGATTTATGGTATTACAAACGAAGCTTGTGATCATTTTAATTTCGAAGTAGAATAAAAAAAACCATTTTTTTTTGCTTCAATTATGACTTTCGAACACGTCATTTATGAGATTTATTTTTTTTTAAATCCAATTTCTTGGAACCTAATAAATAATAATCCCAACTAGTTTGTCATCAGCACCGCGATAGCACTGACTAATAAAACCGATCATTATTTACCAATGGCGCCGCATTCTATAAACATTTGTTTTTTTTTCTCTCTCGCTCATTCGAGCCAATACCAAAATTGGTAGCAATGAAAATTTAATGATTACAATGCTATCGCGACCGGGCAAAAACATGATGATCGTTAGTCAGCCGGAAAAAAAAATATTGGTCATTACTGGAAAATTTTCAGAGAAAAAATTGAGTCTGCTTAAGTCAACAGGACAAATCATGAACGGTTCAACCAGAATTATATACACAAACACGAAATAACAAAACCGTAACAAATGTAACAACCATGAATGCTGACATCATGTTTATCAAAGTCATAGCGCTACAATATGCAATTTCAAAGAATGAAGAAATTTGAGAGAGAGAGAGAGAGAGAGAGAGAGAAAAAAAGAAAACGAAACATAAAACCGTATTCAATAATGCTATGTATTTTTGTAATCCAAAAATCATTTTAATAAAGAACAACAAAAAAATGTATTTAAAACGATTCGTCTTTTAATTTCGAAGAAAAAAATGAACGAAATGAGTGCTTTTTTCAGAGAAAGTGCAATGTTGTCATCAATTCTATATGTGTACACACTACTTTTGGTAAGAATGACGCCGTTTTTCTTTCAGCTTAGAAAACATTTGCAAATGATGATGTAATCCATTGAATGAGCGCTGGGTAATTGCGGCGCACTTTAGACGCCAGTGGATGGCCACGCCGTGGGCAGAATCAAGTAATTTTGCAATGTGAAGGTTTTTGATGTCGAATCACGTCCACCATATGGAATGATTTCTGTCCGCCCAAATAGAAAATAGATCAATGTATCTTTGGTCTGTGATCGCATTCAATTTTTCTTTGTTGAAAATGAAACCATATCAACCGTTCAAATCAAAATACGCAACGCAATCGGCTCATATCAGATGATATTGATATAATTACCATATTGTTTATGCGTGCGCGCGTACAAAGCAAACGGTTTGTTTATTTGCAACATGCATGTGTTTGCAGAGTGGCGCGCAATCACGCACATCGCAATTGCTTGGAATGCAGACCATGGTGAGAATTCAATATGCCGTGGATTTGGTTGTGGTTTGAAATCAAATACCTCATGTTCAATCGAACAACGCGAATGAAACAGAAAAAAAGCAGCTACAACCAAGTTTGAATGCGCAATGTGTGCAATTGTAATACGCAAACTTCGACTACTAGAAGAGTCGACTTCTCATGAATAGCAACGACCGCGTGAATTATTATTGAATGAGTGCAATGCACATGATCATTGCGAAGAAAAATCACCGAAAAAAAACATCCGACACACTCACACGTCGCTGCTGCCACACTCTGATATTATTTTACATAAATGTAATTGCCCACGACATAGCGACTCTATTGCTGCAGCCGACGATGAGTCATGCTTGTTTGTTTGACTTGCATCCGATTGACTGCTTTTTTTCTTCTTCACTGCGCTCGGCAAACAGATATTCAATTTCGTTGCATTTCATCGCCTAGCGCGACTACGTAAGTATTTTTTCTGCTTCTCTTCAATCGCATAATGAATAGACTTTGTTTGCGTTATGAATGCGATAGAGATATTTAATCGCATGCACAGAACACATTTTTTTTCGTTAGCTTATGGGTGAACATTGGTTTTTTCTGTGTTGATCACATTTTATTAGCGCAATTTACATAAAATTGAAAACCGAGTCAAATCTGAGTCGTGCACAAGTGGGTTTCGCCGCTCATTATTCCAATCAATACACACAGGTTGCACACCATTTATAACATTCCTTGCTTGTCTAATGATATTCAAACTCGGACAAACTAAGACGGATTTGAACAGCAGCAGCAGCAGCAACAGCAAAAAAAAAGGTAAGATGACGTCCTTGACAAGTACGCGACCTAGAGTACCAACACTTTACACATTTGTTTCGCAAAAATTCTACATGATTTACCTATCGAGACAATTTTTTTTAATTCACTTTCTTGCTGTATGGTCGTGTCTAGGTTTTTTTTCGTTCAAGGAGAATTTGTGTTTGGAGACCATTGATTTTCTATGAGCTTGCGAAATCTTAGGAGAGACTTTTTCTTCACTTTTGAATGAAATTAAGGTAAGGCTATTACAAAATGTTGCATGTGTGGTAAACTAGTTGACCAAAAGAATTTAAAAAAGAGTTTCGCTCTAACCAGGCAACCAGACAAGATAAATGGTAAGAACAATCGTAAAATCTTTTGATAATAAGCAATTGTTGACACATAAGTAAAATTGGCTGAGCCTAATTTAGGGAATGTGAGTCTTAGAATTAAATAAAATCAAATGCAAAGTGCATAGAAATGTTTGATTCAGGCGAGAATGAGAATATTCTCAAATTGTCGTTAGTACAAAAACTTAACCATAGTATGTTCTTGAGAAAACGATGAATTTTTTTTTATATTTTTTTAATTGTTTGGTTTTAACGCTTTTAATGACTTTGCACATCTAATAAAAAAAAAGTTCTGTTCGAAACGTATCAATTCAGAATAATAGCATCCAAGACGGCAATTATGGGTTTTGTAATTCAATGGTGCACATTTTCAAATCCCGTGTGGTTACAATAAATATACCTCATTAAAAAATTGATATTCAATGCGTGTGAAGGTTCACACTTGCAAATGATAGCATAATTAAGGTGTTCCAGTTCACCAAATTTTAGCTCTGAATTAAACACAATAAAAACTGTTCATTGTATGCATTCACACTGCGCAGAAAAAGCAATTTTTGAACGAGGATAAATGAGAAAACTTCGATCAACAATTCGCCTTTGTTTATAATGAGTCGTTTTCAGACTCATGCAAATATTTACAATTTTGGTTTATCGTTTGAACCATTTTATATTTCAAGTAAATCCGTCTGACTGAGATTAAATAAACAGTCATCGGATGATGGAGAAAACACAACGTCAGATTATTTGCAATTATTCAATCGAATCATTCGTTCGTCTACACTAATTGATGACATTCGAATCTGAATGAAAAAAGAACCATGAAAACGATCCAATTATAGTAAAAAACTATAAACGAATGCCAGTAGTGATAAAGGGCTTAGCGGGAATTTCATTGATACCATATACATGTTGACTCATCCAAAGAATGTGACCCGACTGAGTAATGTTTTATTTAATCAACAATATCTGGCTTCATTCAGTAATTCTACAGCGACAATCAACCAACGCGCCGAAATGAAATTTCAAATGGGCTTTTCCTGGAAGCTTCTGCCCCATATTGATAATGCTATGTTCTGGTTTATAATTTTAACAAAAAAACATTTTTTTTGTAATTATTCGGTCATAAATTAAATTTAAAAAAAAATTGAAAAACCAAGCCAACGGTTTTTCATTGGATTCAGTTATTCAAAAGATTTTTTCTAAAGCCCTAATATGTTCACAAAGAAGTCACTCCAACATCTTTCATTTCAAAGAGTGGTTGTTTTATTTCTTCTGAGTGAACGCATGGTACTGCATTTGATAGGAATTTACGATTTTTATTTTTGGAAAAGAAAGAGAATATATTGACATGCCTTGGGTTGTCGCGATTTTAGCGGAACTGATAATAGATAACGGTTTGGTTTCTTGAACAAAGTTGTAGTACTTGAAGTCTTTTATAATTTTACTGCATATAGTTTTCTCTCATTTTTTATCAGTTGCGCACAAAGAAAGCCATAACCATGTCATTGTAAGCAGTAAATGTCATTGACCATTACTTATGGAAAAAAGCGTTTTTTTGTCGATTTTATGCCATGATTTTTTTCAGCTTCAAACGACCATGTCTCAATAAAGTACTAGCTATGAACAGTTATTATAGAAAAATGCAACATTTGAGCATATTTTTATTTTTATGACAGTGACAAAGACAATATTTATGTATGCTTTTAGTACGCAACTATACTCGAGAATGTAATCCAGAAAATGTCAACATCACTCGTCAATATCCAAAATTAGGTAGTTTGTATTGTTAAAATGCTTTTGAAAATTGATTCCAATCGCCAGTTCGATTAAATTGCAGCTCATAAAGAAATCAAAAGCCACCACATTTGCATTGGCGGCCCATGCATTGCTGATTAAATCCGTAAATACTTTATTGATGGCATTTGCACGTTCTCGTGACGCAGGTAAGTGTAGTCCAGGTGACTATGCGATAAAAAGTAAGCATACAATCAAAATAATACTTGAAAAAAAAAAACTGGGTCTAAATTTCATTTGTACGTACATAAGATGCGTCAACTCCTTGAATGCCATAAATCACCCATGGCTCATTTTTTGGGGTGTATTCATTCTTTCTACTAAATATTTCACGAATATAATCGTGTAGTTCACTGCTCTGTAAATTTACGGTCGTAAATTTCCTCCATATTGGCCAAATCAGCTGCGAGTCTTTCGAATGAAAAATGAAGATTGGTAAGAGAGAGAGAGAATAAGCGATATCTAACGGAATTCACCGAAATCGAACATACACGATCATACATGAAGCTTTGAAACCCTACAATTTCATTTATAAGTCGGGAAGCTTTTTTTTCACTTGGCTCAAATAAAAGCTTCTTTAAAAGTCTTACCTTCAATCACACTTTTGTCATTGTAAAGGATGAGTAAGTTTTTGCCTGTGCGATCCATCATTTCAAGGGTTAAGTCACCTGAACTGGCCGTACTATCCCATGGCCGCGTAAATATTATGTCCCCAAATTCAGCAGCCAATGTTCGCAGAAGCACCAAATGTCGTTCAGGGTTATTGTAAAAACCTACAACAAAAACGGATGAATGAATCATTTTCAAATAAAAACTCGAAGCAAAGAAAATCAATAATACCAATGGGAAATTCAATAAAATTCATAATAACGACTTCTTTTGACAATTTGACAAATAGACGAATTTCTTCCAAAAGTGGCAGCAATGGTGCAACATACAGATTTTCATTCACGATCCATAGATTTGAAGGGGAATTTGTTTCATTCTTTGGATCTTTGTGACTGAAATAGGTATAAATTATGCCGAATTAATTCGGTTGATTTGATAAAAGATTCACTCCCTTCAACTGTTTTAATCTAGATGGGTCGGCAAATATTCGGTTTAAGACTAACCCAACGCTAATATCCAAATATCGAACACCGAAAACGAGCTGTGTCCAAATATCGAAATTCTGCACAAAACCAAACTTTTTCAACAGGATACTACGACTGGCTTTCGTTCGACGATCATAGCAACCCGAACAATGTGTGCCGGGAATGAAGAGATCTTTAAGTGGAACGTTTTGAATTTCAGGCATTGATTTCATCCAATTTGGTTGTATCTTCAGGCAATCCAGCGTTTGTATCTTTTTTCCATTGAACGATGCAATGTAAAATGGCAAACAAGCCGATTTGATATGATCAGGTGGGCTATCTGCTGCATCATTTCTATCCCAACCATATGGCAGTTGGATGTCTCCCAGTTTGACGTGTGTTTTAACGTGGCCAGTGGTTTTATTGTCAAGATCAATGGTGAATAACGGTGCCGAATAGGATACAGACGGATCCTCTGGATACAGGCCAATCCATTCGGCTGGATTTGGGCATTTTGGTCCCCAATTTACTTCCATGTGGGAATTTTCCACATTCTGACTGATCGGCGAGATTGTCAGATAAATTGGACACGGTGACGATGAGTCAACTGAATAGATATGCAAAAATAAAAGTGAAACTAAATCTTGTTTTCTTTTCAAAAAAAAAAAAAAATAAAATAAAACCGGGAGCAACTGCACCGACAACACTCACGTGCATCTAAAATATAGCCCATCGAATTTATGCGACACAAATTCAATGCGTTGGCTAAAATGAAAAACACCACGATTTGAAAATCCATGTGAATGAGTGAATTATTCAAAGGCTCAAAACGAAATGGAAACCAACCGTATGAAACTAAAGTGGTCTAACTGATTGTGACAAGGTTGCAAAAATGTTTCAACCAGATATTTGAAATGAAAATAAAAGACTATATCCATTGAAATATTTCGAGTGTGTTATACAAACATATGTGGCTCACTGTTTCTTTTGTTGTTTTTCTTGTTAAAAAATAACAGGGTGATTCGGACACCGCTTCACAATCCAAATCCAAATCCAAATCAAAAAGGCGGTTTTGTGAACGATGTGTCCAAGAGAAAACATCATCACATCTCTTTTGGAACATGCGATGCGTTTAACGTAAATATAATTTCCTTATTAACTTAAAAGACACTTGCTCAAACCGCTCGTATCGAGTTATTTAATTTGTTTTGTGCCATCGCGGAGACGTCGAAAAATCATTCTATTCTTTTACATGCGCCGCTGGAATTGAAATTGTGCTGTACGGCATTGTATTTAATAAATGTGTGGTGTGACGTCTGATTGCAGTTATAATTTGTTGTTGGATTGAGATCACTTCTTGCCATAAGTCGATTTTTATTCCGTTTATTTTTATTGTGTTCAGTCGAAGCACTACACGCCGAACACAGAGCATTTTATGTTTTCTTTCCACATATTTCTCGAAACTGTTTCTGTTTGAAAACGAAAAATAGCCACCTTATCGCACACAAACAGTTCCAACAGGCGGTTTGGAGAATCCCATCGCATATGCTGGCTTTCAAGTGGTACCTGATTAAATTCCGCAAATCACGCCATGTGATCAGTTACATTGCAATGTGCGACTATTTTTTCCACTTTTAATCTTCTATAAATCATTCGATGATTAGCCAATGCTGTGCAAAAAGAACAACAGAATAAAAAGAAATCCGATCATTCAGATCTGAATTATGAAAAAATAGATTTTATTTAAATATCGTGTAAATTAAATAATAAAAAAAAACATCTAATATATTCTACTAGAACCGATTTGCGTGTAAATTAATGAGGTAGCTTACTATATACGATGCTAGGTGTGTGTTTCGTTTTCTTCTTCTTTCGTTTCATTCATTCTTTCTTTCATTTTAATTCTAATTGAATACTTATTTGACTATTGGATCAGTAAATTGGTTTCGAATATTCTCTTGCTCTTAAGATCAGGTAGGTTAGGCATCTAATTCATTATGTCAATGTGTGCTGCGTGTGTCTCTCTCTCTCATTAATTCTCTCTCACTGTCAAATCAAGTAAGTTGTATGCATTGTATTGGGCCTTAAATAGCGATAATAATTAGTTTTGGATTTTTGTTCGACACACTCAATCGAGTGGAACGGATACGTATGTTTTATTTCTTTTAACATTTTGATTTACCCAATTAACGTATGCATGTATGCAGCATTTTAACCAAAAAGCAAATGGAATCTACTTTATATATCATCATGTAAAATTAAACAGTTTTTTTTTATAAATAAGTTAAGAACTGGGTCACTATCGTTCAGAACAAAATGTCTGTTCCTTAACTATTATTATACACTTTGATTTGTTAATCTCGTTGTTAGCTATATATAGAAAAATGTCGTTAATTTATAAATACAAAAAAGAGAATAATTGTAAATGCAAAATCAAGCGATTGTTGGGGCAGAAGTTCTCTTTTCGAAAATAAAAAGAACTTGATACATTTTTGTTTTGCTCGGCTTTAAATGAAGATCATTATTTACACTTCTATGAACTAGACTTAATCGTATTGCTTCTAAATTGGATCAATTTTCTTGATATCATTTGGCATTTCTTAGATTTACATTACGGAAAATCTAAACCTGCAAATAGGAATTATACACATATTTACACGAATATTTCTCTCTCTCTCTCTCTCTCTCTCTCTCTCTCTCTCTCTCTCTCTCTTTCTCTCTCACTCTCAAAATTGTGTGTGCTTAACTCACGATCAATACTTTGTACATGGTAAATTACATTTGTGTTTTCTTTTTCTTCATCTTGTCATGCGTTCACTCATACATTTTTTTTTTCTATTTTTTCTTTTCGCTTGTTTTCTAAAATTATTTTATCCATTTCACATGAATTAATACTATAGATCTCTAGTCGTAGGCACTGTGTTTCTTGTTATTTTTCTCGTCTCAATCGGATCTGCATTCCATAATTATGTTTCTCATTCGCATTTAATTTTGTTTTAGTTGCTATCACGAATTTCAAATTTCGTTGAATTAATCAAATTATTCCGAATCCGTATATTCCATTCAAACTAGCTAACTTGTTGGGTGAGTAGATTCACGAGTTCGGCTTGATCCATGTTGTTGAGCGTTTGCATATCGATGCCAAGTGCGGTTGCGACGGCTTCGATATCTAGGCCAAACGATGAAAGTAATTCAAGGAAACGAACCTCTTCGCCAGTCAATGGATTCGTCAATGCTGGACAAGAAAAGTTACACTGTGGCCAACTGCATCGTTCCAATAGACGCAATGAGCAACGCGCCGGTTCGGCGAATTTCTTTCGATGATGCGACAATCGACGATTATTATTATGATTATCGTGGTTTTTGTGGTTATTTCGTCGCTTTTTGCGCTTATTCTCATTGTTGCGGCGACGCTCATTGTTATGTGGCGAATTATTGCTGTTATTACTGGTGTTGTTGTTGGTGTTATTTTTCTTGTTGCTGTTGCCATTGCTATTATTATTATTACCATTGACGGTGTTACGAACCGATGATGGTGCTCGTAATGACATCTCCGATGCATGCTGATTGGCATTAGATTTTTTGCGATTCGGTCGGTCTATTTGTTGTTTGAGTTTGTCTAGGAAAGCATTCTGTTGCTTGCGTCGTATACGATTCTGGCGACGTTGTTCGCGCTCCTCTTTTGTCATATTTTGTCGACGCCGTAATCGCTCTTCTTTCGTTAGACGATGTCGACCGTGCCGCAATAGCACGGTTGAATAATTACCGTATTCCATACGTGTCTGAGTGTTATCACCGTTGAAATCACCAAATGCGATTTCGGTATTTTTTCGTCGATTCTTTGGCCGATTTTGATTTGAATCAAAAGCACGTCGAGATTTATTTTGTTGTTTGCCCGTTGCACGTTCCCAACACCGTAACGCTTCGGCCAACGAAATATCATCAATTTTAATATCCATCCAGTCGCGTTTCGTGAGCACGGCATGGCCAATACATGATGGTGCAAAGACGGCCGTTACATTGTCCAATGATGAACGCAACGCACCACCCATCTCATGAATATGATTCCATTGTTCTTTTGTGACCGGTGCCTCGATACTGTCGGCTCTCATTTGTGCTTCATCAAACAACCATTGAAATACAAAGAGAGGTGCTGCACATTGGTTTTGTTTTCGATTTGGAAAGAAGAAAAAGAAAAACGAACATTAGATGTTTGTGTGCCGGGCGAATACAATTGCCGCATTCATGGTCTATTTCAGTGGAAATTTGTGCGAAAATAAAAATGTTTACTTACAAGTCAAAGTGGGATAGAGTCGATGGCCAAAATAGCAACGCCATGGTTCAGTTGGATGCTTTGCAGTACATGCCGCTGGCAAATCACCACCCCACATCTTATAGCCCATCTTAACAACATCGACGGCGGCAACTGCTGTTGGCACATATGGATCACGGTCCAAAAACCAGCCCGAATCGCTGACACCACGAACGGTTATTTTGATGCCACGTTCAACACGCAGGAAACGCTTCACTTTATCCAAATTGAGCATTACACCCAAACCACCGGCTGAGGAGCCAGCAAGTAGGAGTTCACCGCCCTGTGATCGTCCCAAGCCCAATGGAATCAAATCAGCGATCACCTGACGCACAATCAACGATCCCATAAAAGACCATCCGTCTCGAACTTCAGGCAACGCTTTCGTTCCACTCCAGCTGTCCGAGCTGCAGTATGGCACCAAAACGTGGTTTGCATCATGCCAATATGGATTATCACTTTCGATCGGTGATAAAATGCCACCAACTGTAATTTTAGAAGAAAAAAAAAGAGCGATTATTCATAGCCGCAGTCAATAAGGTCTCGTATGTTTCTCGAAAATGACGCTTACCATCTCTGGTTTCTGGCCACTGTGCCGATGTCATCAAGTGTCTGAGCCGTAACCATCGTGTTCGGCACGATTTTGTATCATAACAATGCCAACCGCCTTCGAAAAAAACCACCCATCGTTTGGATTTGAGTGATTTTCGTAGATAAAATCCGGCCTGTGATCCATCGTTGCATGTAACGGTTCGATTCGAGAGAAATGCACGTTTTAATGAGCGCGATGGATCGATTACGGTTGTATGGCTCTTTTCAGTGAAGAAACGTTGAATGGAATTGCTCTCGATTGTCAATCTTTCTGGTGGCGTCAGGTCGGTTGATCGGCAATCTATGCGCACGATCGCTGTTAGCATTACCACTGCCGATAAGAAATTCTACAAGGAGAAAAGATAGAAAGAAAAAAGAAGATGCATGACAACAACAACAAGACAATGTGAGTATGTGAGAAACGAATCGGAAAAATAGAAAACACATTCGAAAGAAAATGAGATCTAAAGAAATATACGTCTATAATTAAAGCATAAGAGCTGTGTGTGGACGAGAGAGAGAGAGAGAGAGAGAGAGAGAGAGAGAGAGAGAGAGAGA